ACTCTCCCCTTAATGAGATGATGTACTTAAACCCCCAGAAGCCTCTTCCCACATGCAATTTCTTTGCAGATCTTCATACTAAGCCTGCCCACTTTTTTCAGTTTTAACTCAAAAAGCATAACTATTTCTTCTTCTTTTAAGCCTAAGCACCCTTCCATGACTTCTCTGGGCTTTCCAGTTCCATGTCTAACTTGAAAGGCATGATTTTCTTCTTCTTGAAGCTGCCAGGACTTACAGCTTCCCTGTCCTGTTATTATTTTCTTTCAAAGTTTAATAAAATGGCCCCAGAGCTTCTTTTGGGGTCCCTTTTTTAAATGTATGTGAGTGTTCTGCCTGTATGTGTGTGAGTGAGTGGTCCAGTGTTGTGCAATGCCCACAGAGGTCAGAAGAGGGCATCAGATCCCCTGGAACTGGAGTTACACATGGTTGTCAGCCACCATGTCGGTGCTGGGAACTGATCCCTGGTCCTCTACAACAGCAGCCAGTGCTCTTAACCACTGAGCCATCTCTCCAGCCCCTATTTTAATTTTTTTATGTGTATTTTTCTTGTATGTTTGTAAGAGTAGTACATGCATGAAATACCCACAGAAGCCAGAATAGGATGTCTGATCCCTGGAACTGCAGTTACAGACAGTTGTTAGCTGCCATGTGGGTGCTGGGACCTGAACCCAGGTCCTCTGCAAGAGCAACCAGTGCTCTTAACTGCTGAGTCATCTCTCCAGCCCCTCCATTTATCTCTTTAGCATGGCTTAGGGTAAGCCTTTCTTCCTAGGGGTGGTCCCTTGGGCAGATTGTGACCTACCCAAATGGAATGTTAGTTTTCCACTCAGGCTAGAGATTCGATTCTTTCTTTCTTTTCTTTCTTTTCCTTCCTTCCTTCCTTCCTTCCTTCCTTCCTTCCTTCCTTCCTTCCTTCCTTCCTTTCTTTTTTTGTCTTTTTTGAGACAGGGTCTCCCTGTAGCCCCAGTTGGCCTGGAACTCACTATGTGTAGACCAGGCTGGCCTCGAACTCACAGAGATCTGTGTGCCTCTGCTGGGATTAAAGGATTCTATTCTCTTAACCAAGAGTTTTCTCTTCATGAGCCTTTATTGCTACTCTGAGGATATTCCTTAAACTTAAAATCATGTACCAGAGTATATTATTTGTTTGTTTGTTTGTTTTTGAGACAAAATCTTACTATGTAACCCTGTCTGGTCTGGAACTCACTATGTAGACAAGGCTAGCCTGGAATTCACAGAGATCTACCTGCCTCTGCCTCAGAAGTGCTGGGATTAAAGGCATGTGCCACCATACCCAGCCCCAGAGTATAATTAAAAGGATTAAAGAGGAGCTGGGCATGGTGGCTCACACCTTTAATCCCAGCACTCAGGAGGCAAAGGCAGGCAGATCTCTGTGAGTTCAAGGCCACCCTGGTCTACATAGTGAGTTCCAAGACAGCTGGGGCTACAAGAAGACCCTGTCTCAAAAAAGACCAGAAAAAAAAAAAAAGGATTAAAGAGGATCAGGAGATGGCTCCTCAGGTAAAGGTGCTGGCAGACAAGGCTTAGGACCTGAGTCTGATCCACCAGACACACGTGGTCGAAGGTGATAACTGACTCTGGCAAGTTGTCCTCTGACCTGCACACTCCTTCCAAGGTCTGCAAACATATATACACACACAGGATGAAGAAATGAATAAATTAAAAAATGTGAGTAAAAAAACAGATGAAAATAAAAGGATTAAAGAAAAATGATTAAGAAAAACCCCACATCTATAAAATAGTCATGCTTTACCAGGGGAAATAGCTTTCTCTTGATGGGCTACAACAAACCCTTATGCCTCTAATTTCCTCCCTTTCATGAAGCATTTTAGATCTGAGTGTTAATTATGATGCCCCTTCCCTCCTTACATGATATTCCAAACTCTGCTTCTCTGTCTGTCTCTGTCTCTGTCTCTGTCTCTGTCTCTCTCTCTCTCTCTCTCTCTCTGTCTTTGAAAGTCTTAATGAAAGTCTTAAGTAGTCCAGGGTACTTTTAGGTGAAGATGATCTTGGACTTTTTAAAAAAATTATTTTTATATGTTTGAATGTTTTGCCTGCATGTATGGAAGTACACCATGTACATGCAGTGCCTGAGGAGCCAGAAGAGGGCATCAGATCCCCTGGAACTGGAGTTACACATGATTGTCAGCCACTATATAGGTGCTAGGAGCTGAGCCTGGGTCTTCTACAAGAGCTGTCAGTGTTCTGTATTGATGAGCCACCTCTCTAGCCCCACCTTGAACTTCTAAGCCTCCTGCCTCCACCTCCTGAGTGCTGGGATTATAGATAGACATCACTGCAATAGGTCTATGGGGTGCTGGGCCAGACCTCAGGGTTTCATATGGTAGACAAGCACTCAGTCAAATGAGCTATATCCCCAAACTAAGACTATACATTTTTGTTTTCAGTAAAAATGCCCCATTACTATACCAATATTACAATTACCTAGACCAGGCTGACCTCCATCTCACAGAGATCTCCCTGCCTCTGCCTCCTGAGTGATGGAATTAAAGGTATGTGCTGGTGTGTGCTACCACCCCTGGCTTCTGCAACCCTTTTAAGAAGGTTTTACTTGATCAGCTGCAATCCTCTCCAATAAGCCTCAGGAAGTACTCTATGATCTCATTTACCAAAAATGAAAGTTCCTTAGCAACCCGGTGAGATTTAACTTCAGAAGCCACTCAAACCATATGCACATAGTTATTGTAAAGATAGTTATGAGTCCTTTTCCTGAGCACCACTTTTTTTTTTCTTTTTTCCCAGTTAAGCCTGTGTTTTCTAGGTATGGTGGTGTACACTGGTAATCCTAGCACTTGGGAGGCGGAGGTAGGTGGATCTCTGTGACTTTGAGGCCAGCCTGGTCTACACAGTGAGTTCAGGTTAGTCAGGGCTACATAAAGAGAACTTATCTCAACAAACAAGAACAACAAAAACAAAAACCCAATCCGCCCCCCACCCCCAATACTTGAATCTATGCTAAAATTTCTTACTTGGGCTGCGTATGTGACTTGGTTGGTGGAATGGTTTTCTAGCGTGCACAGGGCTCTGGGTTCCAGGTCCAGAACCACCTCAAATCCTTGTAATCCTAAGCATTCTGGAGGCAGAAGTAGAAGAGTCAGCATTTCAAGTTCATCCTCAGCTACTTAGTGATTTGTCTCAAAACCAAACCAAAGCAAACATCAAGAAAATTCTTCCTGGGGCTGAAGAGATGGCTCAGTGGTTAAGAGCATTGACTACTCTTGCAGAGGGTCTGAGTTCGATTCCCAGGACCCACATGGTGGCTAACAACCATCTGTAATTCCAGTTCCGGGGCATCTGACACCCTCCTTTGACCTCTGCAGGCAGCAGGCATTGTACAACATGGGTGCACCTACATACATGCAAGCAATATACTCGTACACATAAAATAAAATAAAAATAATTAAAATTTTGAAAAAGAAAATTCTCCCTAATAAACTCCAGCTCTATTTCAAACTGGCTTATTCTGAAATTCTCTTCTTTGGTAGAGTCAGGGTTCACGAGATGTCTCAGTGGTTAAAAGCACTGACTGGTCTTGCAGAAGGCCTGGGTTCAATTCCCAGCACCTACATGGCAGCTAACAACCATCTGTAAATCCAGTTCCAGGGGATCCGACACCTTCTTTTGACCTCTGCAGGCAGTGAGCATTGCACAACACTGGTGCACTTACATACACACAGGCAATATGCTGATGCACATAAAGTAAAAATAACAAATAATTTTTAAAAATTATTTTTATTTTATGTGTATGTGTGTATTACCTGCATGTAGGTAAGTGCACCCATGTTGTGCAATGCTCTTGGAGGTCAGAAGAGGCTGTTGGATCCCTTGGGACAAGAATTACGGACAGTTGTTAGCTGCTATGTGGGTGCTGGGATTCAAACCCAGGTCTTCTGCAAACAACCAGTGTTCTTAACCGCTGAGCCATCTCTCCAGCCCCAATAAAATATTTTTTTTAAAAAACGAATCCTAGCTTCATTTGAGCAGAGATCTCTGAAAGAACATCTCAGATTGCTTTGTGTCTTTGACTTTTGTCTTTCCAGATGGTGCCAAACTTGTAAGGGCTCCAACCCTTGTGGACCTCCATGATGTAGTAGTGCTTGTTTCTGCCCTTCCATCGGTAAGCTCATGGGCCGCTGTGGAAATAGTTCCCTTATCTCATGGAGTTCCAGCTCACCTTTCAAGACTAAATTGTCTCTTGTTTAGGGTTTAGGTTTAGAGTTTTTAGGACCTCAAGATTCAAAGTTCCAAAGCTCTAGATTTGAGACGCTAGAGGGAGACTTAGGTTTTGAGAGAATGGCTTCAATTCTGAAGGAAGATGCTGAATCCTAGAGGAGTTCTTGGCCTGAACCCAAAGTTCTGACAACAGAAGTGGGAAGAATAGGGAAGTATAGTATCTACACTTTTAGGAGGGGTTGAAAATGTAAGCGTGGCCTTAGTCATACACCAGAGACTACACTAATTATCGGACTCAGAGTCCAAAGTCCTTCTGCTTTTGAATCTTACGGTGTCCCTCCCCTCTCCAGGAGAGATTTGGGGCAAAGGACAAATGAGAAGTGATAGGTGAAAAGCATAATATTCTTACCAGGTTACACTGAAAACATCCAAGCTGTAGAAATAGTCTAATTCTCTTACCTTTGTACTTCCTCTGTTCTTTCTGTTGAGGACTGGTGAGTCAGTCTTTACCAGAACTGACGGGAAAGAGAAAGCCAATGGAGTTCAGAGATGTCCCCAGAGAACTTGGAAGTCTAATATCCTCAGAATTCATGCTATTTGGACTAGAGGGTCTTGAAATACTAAGGAAAGGATGAAAACTCACATCCCACTTCCTTTTCCACTGCTACCTGTTTCCACAATCAGATATCAGAGGACTGCTTACAATTCAGGAATGAGTCATCCTCTGTCCAAGCAGGTGGCTGTGGGCACACCTGAAGAAACAAAGTCCAGGCACATAGCTGGCACAAGCCATCCACAAGACATATGCTCCAGAGGAAGGAGACCAGTAGCACAGCAACATGACTACCATGAGAGGTAAAATGAATCTCAGGTCCTGGCAAAACCTTCGATTATTTGTCCTCTTCGCTTTGCTTCTTCTTTTTAAAAAAGATTTTATTTTATGTGTGAGTCTGTATGTGGGGATGTACACGGGAGTGCAGGTGCCCACAGAAGGCAAAGGCATCAGATCCCCTGGAGCTGGAGTTACCTGCAGCTGTGAACTGCCCGATGTGGGTGCTGGGAACTGAACTCGGTCTTTTGCAAGAGTAGTATGTGTTCTTAGTCATCTCTCCAGCCCATGCTTTTTTGATACAAGTTTCTGTTATGTTGCCTAGGCTGGCCTCCAGCTCCTGGTCTCAAGTGATCCTCCTGCTTCAGCCTCTTATGTAGCTGGGACTACAGTAGTGTGTGCTACCATGTTCAACTTGGGCCTATGGTTCTGAAGTGGTCAACAACTGCATGTGGGTGTGACCTGCTTATGCTTGGATCCCTGGGTACATTCTAACTTTCCTATTATTGGTTAGTACATTAATACTGTTCTTAAGATGTATTACTACTGCCAGGAGTGGTGGCACACACTTTTAATCCCAGCACTTGGGAGGCAGAGACAGGTGGATCTCTGTGAGTTCAAGGCCAGCCTGGTCTACATAGTGAGTTCCAGGACAGCTGGGGCTACCTGAGATTCTGTCTCAAAAACATTAAAAAAAATAATAATACAAGCTATCTCTTCACCCCTTAAAAATTTTTTTTTAAAGATAACAAGCCAGGAATGGCAGCACAGGTGTGTAGTCCCAGCACTGGGGAGGCAGAGGCAGGTGGATCTCTGTGAGTTCAAGGTCAGCATGAGCAACATAGTAAGTTCCAGGGTAGCTTGGTTTATATTATGAGGCCATCTCTCAAAGGAAAAAAAAAAAACAAAAGCAAACAATCAGACTGGGAATGTAGCTCACTTGGTAAAGTGCTTGTCTGTCATGCAGGAAGTTCTGGGTTCTATCCCCAGCACCATATACACCAGGTATGGTGGCACATACCTGTAATCCCAGCACTTGGGAAGTGGAGGGAGGAAGATGAGATGTTCAAGGTCATCTGCCACACACTGAATTCAAGGCCAGCCTATGTACGTGGGATCCCATCTCAACAATCAAACGGAAAATTAATAAGTTAATGCTCCATTACTTGGTATTTGAGAAGTTCAGAGGAGGAGGATACTTCTGGCTTTGGAAAGAAGTAATTTCAGGTGAGGTAGGATTGGAGCAGTTCCTAAAAAAAGGGCTGAATTCCCATTGGTAAACAGGGAGAGATCCCCAGTTAATTGAATGCTATGGACAAGATGAATTTGAGAGACTACAGAGGTTTGTGCTTGAAATATAAGTAAACTGGTTAGGCTAGGCAGGATCGTGGAGACATCCAGAAAGTAAATTTGAAGTGTTATCATAGGGGACATTGAACACCAGACTGAAGAAAGTTTTTCATTATTGTTTTTGGTAGAGACAGGGAGAGATCCCCAGTTAATTGAATGCTATGGACAAGATGAATTTGAGAGACTACAGAGGTTTGTGCTTGAAATATAAGTAAACTGGTTAGGCTAGGCAGGATCGTGGAGACATCCAGAAAGTAAATTTGAAGTGTTATCATAGGGGACATTGAACACCAGACTGAAGAAAGTTTTTCATTATTGTTTTTGGTAGAGTGAA